GTCGTTTAACTTAACGCCTGCGTATGTAATTCGTCGCTCGTGCTAAATCATAATAATTAACATCTTTTCGTCAAGTGTGTGATTACGCTAATTATACGCCATCGCAGAGATCGTATGATTAGACGAAGGATTCTACGCACGTGTGCGGTTAAAGTTCATCCGGTGAGGTGATTAACCCGACTTGGCGTTTCCTCGAAAAATTGTCTAATTTTATTCTGCGATAAAAATTAAAATGCACCAAAAACAAATAAACTAATAAATAAAATAACTAAACAAAAATTTTGTATCATACAATGCGAAGAAATTGTCAAATTATTTTAAGCGGCTCCGTTATTCCTTACACTCAGTCCCTATTATGGCAAATAATTTCCTGTAATGCCGACTTCATCCAACCAACAAACATCTCACTGCTCCTCAAGCGTGGAAGGGTTCAGTCTCAAAGGGCAAATCGATCTCGTCGCAAAGCCGATAATCCGGCATCCTACCCCCACGTCAAAGTAAGCGAACACAGGCGCTCTATCGAGGCACGACGCGACCCTTTCCCCCTCCACGCCGTATACCCTTTCGTTCATCGTATACTCCTATCCCGCAGAGATCTATCGTGACTCTGCGCTTATGCGAACTATCCCTTCGCCTCCCCCGCGGCTCACCTGGAGCGCTTTCCGCGAGCGCGACCGATTCGCTATTGTGTTACCGCGGTCTCTCGCCACCGTCGCGTAGGGGAACACCGGCGCTCGATTTAATATCAGTAGTGCAGCTGCAGATGCATCGCTGCACTACCGTACGCCCTAAGATGCTGAGACTAGATGGCGAGAGGGACGGGGCGATGTCGTGGAGGTGGGGTCCGCGACGTTACCTACACCGTCTGGTTTCCCCGGTTCTTGCCGCCTATTTACAATCCTGAAAGACCGAGTCCGGTACACACCGCTGGCACCGGCCAGGTATGGCAGTCGCCGCCGGTTTCGTACTTGGCGAGGCTTACAACGCCAGGTCGGACGATGCACCGCGTTGGAGAAAAGCGAGGCTCAGAGCGCTAAAAGAGCTCGCTGCGACCGGCTACCAGGCGTGCGGAGAACAAGGACGCTGCGGGGTTAAGGTTACGGATGATGACGCTTCGATTATTCGCACGGGCTTCCGATTGCGATATGATTTACGCGGAACTCTCCCGAGTAAGCTACAGTTTGATTTCCCAGAGCAGATATTAGATATGTATTTCGTTATTTATTAACAGATTATTTGTGCTATTGTTAAGCAGGTGTGATATACGTCCTGGAATCTACGGAAAATCCGTAGATATCTTCAGAGCTTTTATGCCTTAACGCGAATGGATTTCCGTGTCTTCCTCGCACTTGGACTCTTCTTTCGAATCTTTCCCATCACTCATATGTTCCGAAATAGAGTAAAGAGTAAGGGATCAATTTTCGATCAGTCACGGATAAACGTTCCATCTGAAGTGAGCATCGGAGATGGCTCGCGATATCTCGATATTTCGGAAGAATGTACCGCGTGGCGATCATTAAGCGATGACTTCGTATGCAGGCGAAATAGCCCGGAGGTGTGCGGAGATTTTGGGGCCGATAAAAAAGGAGGAGAGCACCAGGGCGGGTGGAGAAAAAGGTGGTTCGCGTAGACAGACTCGCGGCGAGAATCGTGTGACCTTCGATCTCGAAGGAAACCTCGGGTTCTCCATATCCGACGAATGATGTCGTTCGTTAGCTCGCTCCATCGGCCAGCGGTTCTCAACTCGCCCTATCCGGAGTTCCAGGAGAAGCGGCTTCGGTTACGGCGATGATATCAATACGCGCAAGAGATACACCGAACGAGGGAGGAGCGCGCCGTATCTCGCGCGATACCATTGTGGCACACTAGCGTCTGCTCTACGGGTACACTGTCTGCTAAAAGTTCGCAGAAAATACCGAGGAAAATCTAATTTAGATCCCAACTCCTTAAGTTTACCGCCTACTACGTTCAATTTAATTGCAATATCCATTTCAGAGTTCAAGATCAGAGGACAATGTAAAATATCAATCGCGCGTTTTATCATCGGCAAAGCGTTGCATATGCAAATTCTATATCGACATTGATATTTTCCGCTTATTAGGTTTCTGCTGCTTCTAACCGAGGTGCTGAAGTGTGAAGAGTATCGCGTCACGGTCGAGTAATATGCTGAATATACTCAGCACGCGATCATTATTTATACCGCTGCCATAATCCACGGCAGTTACGCGCTCTCCTCCGCAACGAAGGAGAAAATCGAACGATTCGTCTTAAACGGCGATTCTCGCGCTGAAATATAAACACGTTCCTGTGAAAATGAGCGGCAACACAAGCCGTTCAATAAGACGAGACCGTTGCTTTCTGTTCCCCGGATTGTTACTGCGCCTCTCGCCTCGAGAGATAAAAACCGCCGCGCCGGAATTCCATGTTCGTCACGTTCGCGTCGTGCGTTTTGAAATTCGAAGCAGGTTCCGGTTCCTTCCAGGAGTCACATGGCTCAACTGCGGAGCCCACGGGTCGTCTCTTCGCGGTATTGTTGTTGTTATCGACCTCGTCTCCTTCGTGATATGATGTAATTTGCTCTACACGCGTCTCTAGGCTTCTCGGACTATCTGTACCGCGTCTCCCCTCGCCTTGAACTTAAGACACCGTGTATATCGATATGGGACCACACGCGTGTCGGCGTATATAAGCCTCTTGCGTTTGTAACGAGTGTGCACGCTTTGCACCAGTGGCGTAGAAAAGCGTCGTTGTTTCATTCCAACTGCATTGTGTCGCGTTGTCGCAATAAAATTTTATTCTACGGCTGTCAAAATCAAATATTAATTTACAGTCTGAAACTATAATATAAGTAACGCGTTAAATGTGATTATAAAATGAATTCAGTAATTCTTATTGAATTATTTTGAGAAATTTATAATTTAATCTTTGTATTTAAAAAATCAGACTGTACATTTATTTTATGTCGCAATAACTTTCGCTCAATTATTTTCATTCTGACAGCCGCTTGCGCAAATCATTCGCTTTTTTTCATCTCACTGTGGCCGCGTTTCGAACCTCTACGGCGGATATGACGTAGTATTTTTACGTTGCAACCGGCAGGCAATTATTCGTTTTTCATGAGATGAGAGCGACGTCTGCCGCTCGTAAGCGTAATGAGTCCGCGTTACTAATGATCGTACGTTTGTAATCACGTCGAAGGACCGGATGCCGCCAGACTCTCTGATCAATCGACGACCTTGGCAATTACGGTTCCGTTTATGGCCCCTTGACATTTTTCTAACGTGCACGAAATGTCATTCGATCGCGATCGTTAATTTCGCGGCAGCTTTGAGCTGGCGAATTCGGAGCGACATGACATTTCGAAGAAACGCCAAATAGCACTTATGTACATCCGATATTATCCTCGTCGCGATGAGCTTCGTAGCGTGCGTTATCGCCAAACGCGTCTCCAATTAATTCTTCGTGCGTTAAAATTCTTAGTAATTTGAAGAAAAAAAAAATTAAATTGCTTATCATCGCATTTATTGCATACATAATCGCTGCATTAAAATAAAGGCTTAAACGCAAAGCTATAAACTGGACCACGCTTTCTCGCGGAATAACGTCAGCGACGTTTTATCAACTATTTGCTGGCTACCCGACGAAAGTAACCACCCTCGCGTTACACGGTCCGATAACACGAGCCGCGTAAGCCACGGATTACACTTGCCGGACGTTTCCGCGCCGTTATCCTGAAGTAACGACAGGGTTAATCCGCCTTTTCTGGCGAAGAATGCCGCAACAAAGCGGAACGACCGCGCCCGTCCGCTTTTACCGGAGGAAGTCGTGCACTTCGGCTTGCACTTCGGCGCGCACTCCTCGTGTCTGACGGACATTCCTCTCCATGTCCAGTCAACGTTCATCCCGCCGCCGACACTCGGAGTCGGCACAAGCGCGCGTGCTGGAAAGACGCGCGTGTAGGTACGTTCGGCTCTCTCCATACGCGAGCGTGACATAGGAGTACTCGGCGATACGAGGAAGGTAAGTAAGGCTCGTGCCCTGCCCGGTGACTGAACCCACACAGCATTTCACGTAAGGAGCGCACACGCATGCACCAATACCGATGCACAAAACCGGCGAGCGCACACGCTCATCCGTCCGACACATCGGACCGAAGAACCGTTCGGAGAACCGAGTATCTCATCAGTTAAGATATCGACGCGCTTTTTGGATTAAAGCGTGCGGCGGAGATTTACTGCGCGCATGGGTGGAGAACGATGGAAGCTACTCATTAATTTCTGTTATTTTGCTATCGCGCTATCGACCCCTAGGCCGTGAGAAGGATGATTATTACTGCGAGAAGTAGGTACAACGAATGCAAAATTATGTGACGTTAACAGAGATATTAAGTTTCCCGATGCTTGTTATAGGGTTTCTTATTATCGCTAATAATATACCTTAAACAAATCTTTTTATAAAAAAAATCTCTAAAGGCACTTTGATCATTACGTGCAAGCTATATTATAAGAATGAAATTTGCGAGTCATATTATTTTCTTATTGAATTTCTTGTAGAATTAAATTTCGATTTTAGCGACTTTTTTACGAAATTTCTTTGTGCGAGAAAGCAAAGTACATAAGTTTTTATAGATTTTAGAATATCTTTTTGTTCTTGAGAGAAATGAAAACCGATGCGCGTAATCGCTATCAACTCGAGTCTTGGCTTAACGTATCTCGAAGGCTCGAAGGGTCTGTTTAAGTACCAGGAAGTACGCGGAAGAGTGCATGGCTGGATGGAAGAGGGGCTCTTCATGTACGTGGAAGTGTGTGCTCTTTGCTCCGGTCTGTCATAAACCTTCCAAGAAAGAGGCCTTGATTACGAATGTCGCGCTTAGGAGAAGTGACATGCTCACGACAGTCTAATCGCCGCGTTTGCGTTTGCGGAACGCTCGCAGGAATCTGTCACGTCGGAGAAACCAAATAAAACAATTCAAAAGATTATCTACATACAAAATCACATACCTTGTCTTCGCATGACTTGTGGCAGATGTACTTGCACACTGAAACAAAAAAAAAACACAGATTCAAATGTGAAATTTACGGATTTCTAGTCTCATTGATTTTAATGTTTACATTCGTCGGGGTAATAAACGATAATTTTGATTGAGCGGTGATAATTTTACATGATGCTATATTCGCTCATTTTCACGAGTCGAGAAACGATCTCAAATATTATAATCATTTCCTCGATCCTATATTAATACGCAATTGCGTTAATTATTTGCTTGACGCGGATGCAGCAATCAATCCGACTTTCACGCGTGCACGAACGAACGTGCGTTTCTGCATTAATTGTAGTAATCATCGTGTAATCTGGAGCACAGCAATGAGACTTAATATCAGTAATAACGCTGGTAATATTAATAAAAAGAAAAGTACCGAATTACCCGACAACGGTGCTATTTTAACGAGCGCTTTCCCGGTTAAGCAGGAGCTTTCGTATCTTTCGAGCGATTCAAGAGCACTACTGTGTACCATCCAGAATACCGCGAAGAGCCAGCTGTTACCCGTTACCCTGAAGAGAATGATGTTATCGACTCACCTCGGCAGCAAGAGGCTTGCTTGATCACCGCCTGATGGCACAAATGACATGGTCGGGGTTTGCGTAGCTGCTTGGTGCGGAACACGTGACACTGGGGTTCGAAGTCGCTCTGAAACATAGCAGGAGAGCTTAATTAGTACAATAATTGTTTAGGTTGATCAAGGACGAAAGCGCCATCGGCTGGCGCCGCTTTTTACGCGCCGGCTTTTTCGTCGACATCGATCACTTGATCGCGGGAACCTCTCGAGTCGCGATTAAACTCGTTAAGGCACAGTATTATAAATGGGGAGCTTGTTCGACTCGAGGGGGAAACGCCTGATGCCTGAAACGAGGTCGCAGATCTCAATCTCCGACTACAGCAATGGACATTGTAATGCGATGAAGTATTTATTACAAGTGAAATCATCCTGTTGCTAGACTGACGACGTTTGCGTTTCATATAAATGTGTATTCGTGAAACACCTAATTAAAGAGATAAAATTTATCGATGTAACATTTACTTGTTTATCTGAATAATGTATAATCTGAAAATTGATGATAATTTTATTAACCTATCATTATTTCATATCTTGTCTCGAATAAAAATTAAAAAAGCGATTTACGTAAAAGGATTTCAAAGGATCGGAATTATTGGTATAAGAACGGCATTACTGATGTAACGAACTTATCGTAGGATGAAACGTCAGAATGCAGCACGTGTTCGTAATAATGCCGGCTTTTGCAACCAGCTCATGCGATTAATCACGTAACAAACCGAGGATCAGCTTCGCTTAATCACTGCTCCGAGGATTCCCTCCTGACCGCGCGCGCTTCGCGGCAATTATAATCATTCTCATGTGTGGCTTTTCTGCGGCCGCAGATGGAGGCGAGCTCACGAGCGGACGGGCGGCGCATAAATTGAGAAAACAGAACAGCCATTCATTAGGATCGCGTTTATCCCCGGATACGCTGCCGGCGGAGCGCTCGTCTATGACTTCAATACGACAGTCAACCTGTTAACAGTACTTAAGCCGGTGGGCAGCGCTCTGTCAGTTCGCAAAGTTATGCGCAAATAAGCGCCCGGGGCCCTCCGCAAAAGCGCGGCCCCTCTCCGATTACGTACACGCGATGTAAGACTCTTCCTCGAGAAAACGCGGATAACCCGTCTTTTCACCCACGTCGATCGAATCCCCGGAGAGAAAACGCGGATTTGAATGCGAGTTACCGCGGTAACTCGTATGCCGGCGAGTCGCGCTCCGCGAAGCACGAGTGAGCAATTTTGCATATGCAGATGGCTCAAAAATCCATATAGGATTCTCTCTTGGAGTCAAAATATTGTAACTGATATAGATGGTACAGACACGAGATAGAAATGCTGCTGGTAGAAAAGATTTCGCAACAATTTTTCAACGATATTATTCTTTAGAAAAACTCACATTTCATAAAAATAAAAAAAAAATTAAACCATACAGCACGAAGCGCAATATATGTATGTATAAGCATAGCTTCGTTATAATCCGCGAGAGTTCGCGAATACGTGCATTTTTCTCGGTGTGGATATTTAAATGGACTTAATCATCGCACGCGCAGCAATAAAGCGGTTTCTACTCCCTCGAGCTGCGTAATTAAGACGCGAGAAAAACACATTGCTGGAGAGAAGAGATTCTTCAATGAAGTCCATATCGTTGTCGCGTTAATTTTATTATTGCGGCGCGCGTATTTTTATCAACGTCGACGAGTGTGTCGACGCGGATTGTAAAATTTACTGTAGTCGTCCGATATAATGATGTAATATTTTTTAATTATCAGTTTTATCGATACCGCGGGGCACGCGCGATGAATTATTATAATATTATACGAACTCGGCGCGCAGACTCAAACGAACGTGCTTCCTTATTGGAGATAATATGTCGCGGCACTTTCCTCACCCGTCGTCGTCGTAAACGTCACCACGCGCTTATCCTTTTTATCGGACGATAAAATACACCAGTCGCCATTGTGTTATTTTTCGTCGAGTCCCCGCGGAGTTTTGATCTATGGACACAGCGTTTGTCGAAATTACTCTTTGGCTGGTTTATCGTCGCATAATGATACGCTGTATATCGTCGCACGCACTTTGTCGTCGTAAAAGCTGACTTGCACGAAGCGATTGCACTTCAAACACACACATGAACTCCGCAATAAATATAAATTCTTTAGAAATATTACGTATATGTATTCTAAACACACGATTTTATCACGTCATTATGTTTTGTCATTATACTTGTATCATTTGGCATATTAATTTACTTTAGAAAAGAAGTGGAACCATAATATAATCCAATTGTTTCACGTGGGAATTTGTAAAAAAAAAAACATTCATAAAAATCTCACGCCCTTTTTATCACGAATCTTACAGTTCTGCTCTTCTCTTGCAGTTCCAATGTCGCGTCACTTATAAATTCTGCGTATTTTCTATTTGATAAGCAATAATAAGCGTCACATTAATTATCGTTCAATCGTGACTATTGCGCAGAAAGCATTCCACGCTTTTCAGTGACTATTGGAATCCGAATGGTGCGCGTGAGTGGAGATAAAACGGCTGTTTAATGTCAGCGTTCGATGGCGGTTTTCCAGCAATAATTCAGCCCGTTTAACGTTCAGCACATTTAATTCGCCTGCTAATTATCGAATCCATTCGCACGGCGTATCGCGACGGCATCGCAAAAAGAAAGAGAAAATGGCAACGCAGATATAACAATATGCGCTGCTGTAGAATTTTATTCATTACCTAACGATTGTGAATACATCTTATTAACTAATTGCCAGATTCATTACCGCACCGTAACCTTTGACACCACTAGAAAGCAGCGCTATTGATCACGCGGGGTTAATTGATCTTTAATCGCCGCAGGAATTGGCGGAATCGTTTAAACTCCTCAACTTGTCCATCAATCCTGCAATTTTTAAAGCTTTTTTCGAATTCACATTATTATTTGCTCTATGCGGCACACAAGAAAGCTTCGAGAGACTATTTTTTTATATATTATATTCTGCAATATCAAATTGATTAAATTTTTTACAAAACGTAAAATAAATAATAAAAGTTTACGAAGGTAATCTTTATATAACAATTTGTTTTTTTGATCAATTTTATTAGATGTTTCTTTTTCAATGCTTTGTTAGTGGATTTAATTACGTGAGTAATTTTACTTAGTCGAAATTCGCACGATTAGATGGACGGACTATCCATAAAATTTGAACACGCACACACGCGCATTTATCAATCTTCAACTGAGAAAAGTTTTCCCTTGTGATGTTAAATGAAATATACGTAAACGAGACGGCACGGCGGGATTTCGTTTAACGAGCGGGCTGATTTAGGACCGCATATCACACGGATAATCCACCTTGCCGCGGGTGAATAATAACTATATTTCATAATAGATTCAGCGCATCATGCGATACATCACACAACGTGTAATTTCAACGGCGCGCACGTTCAATGGGCGTAATACGTATACATAATAACATTGTGCGGTCTAGCGTAATTTGTGATAAATGAGTACGACAAGCCAGCTCGTTTTAATGAATCCGAAACGAGTCAGATAGTTCTGTGGTTTAAGCACCTGTTGTTTCAATAAATTTTCCGAGAATGCTATTACTATCTGAAAATAAATTGTAGAAACTGTCACTTTAATGGCAGTACAGTTAAATGAGTAAGTTTCTCATATGTAATTACATTAGCATAAATTTAAAAATTTATGGATTTATGACCATAATGACATTTTTCATAAGAAGAAATAGAATAAATTTAATTGAAACTGAATTGTGTGGATAGAACTTGTAAAAGTGACTTCTTCCAGAAGCTGAATGTGAAGAAATTAATAATAAAAATACAAGAATAAATTCTGAAACGTGTAATTAATGCAATGTTAATCAACAATAATCATTTCGTCGAAAACCGAATCCTAAGGCCAGTTTTTTGAAGTAAAACCAAATCGGAACCATTAAGAATATATTTATAGATTTTCTATCTTCGACGGTAACTCACGCAGAAAGCTTGCGTAGAACGCGAGTTCAAAGCTCGGGCAAGAGATTCAAGTGGCATCAAGTGCGCTTTCTCTGTCGCGATACCACGTAGACCGCGGAGCAGCGGATCATTCGAAA